GTGTGCATGTTGCATGCACTGCACACGTGTTCCCTCGCCAGAGTTCGTGTGGCGTTCCCCCTTTCCCCTGTATCTCCCCATAGCCCCACAGTACCCCATGGGTGTTTAGGCTAAGGCCTTCGTGGTAATTGGAGTATAAAAAAAAATATTCTTTTTGTACTTCCTCTTTTCTTCTCTTTCTTAAAACTAATTATTCCATTATATCGTACACATAACCATGTTTCATTCTATGTGATAGCAGTGTGATTATGTGTTATTTTGGTTTATAGTTTTTAATTTTCAAGTATGAGGTTGCCATTTCATCAGCATTATGCTGTAGGCAGTCTCTTTTGCAGTAAATGTTATCTTAAATTCCACTTTTCAACTTCATGTACTAGTATAGTATGCTGCAAACAGATCCTATTATTATACCTTACTTTTTTCTCGTCCTGGATATACAGTCATATCTCTGTCGTTACTTTTCACACCGAATATAAATTTTGCACCATACTGTCCCATCGGCTATGATGTTTATTAATGACGTCATCATCTGAGAGAGGCCGCACTTGGCACAAAGCTAATTGGAGCTTCCAGCCTGTTAGGCGGCGAAGTCTCGGCCTCGAGAGGTGCTTCAGTGCTGCCGAATCAGCCACTTTCAGTCACATCAACGAAATCAGGATATACAGGGTGTTATAAAAGTCCTTACATAGCTCCAAAAGGACTCCATTGTCTACCCGAACCAGAATCACATGTATATCTAGATTTCACTTTATTGTACGACGTTTTGACCGGCATTGGGTTCTAATTCAAGAGCAATTGACATCTCTGACAGTGTAGTCCTATGGCAATGAAAACCACAAAATAAGTAACAGGAGGCACATAGCTTTGAAGCTTCTTTTAATGCACTTGGAGGACAAGAGACACTTGGGGCCGATTTCACCAACATTAATATTATGAACTAATGGGAAAGTACCTTATCGAAATGCAATTTGACGGAAGCTGACAAAGCTCTCAGAATATCAGTGATTTCTATTGAAATATTGAATAAAATCGTGAAAATTCCACTGTATTATAAACAAGACCACTTTTTGAGTCAAACATGATGCTTTTGTACAGAAAAAACAGGACAACTTCCATGTATTTTGATATATGTTATAGGTTTACATTTAAAAATCCGTTATCCCCCTCAGCGAATGGGAATGGACATAGACAAAAAATTATGAAATATAATGTCCTTTTAAGTCCAAAAATCATCAAAACTAGTAATGTTTATTGTTTGTGTTTTTGACTGGCGGTCGTTGACTGGCGGGGATATCTATCTGTCACTCGAGGGTTGCCAAGTCTAACGACGATCACGTCCCGTGGTGGAGGGTTCGAAATGAATCTTTTACATTTGCTGGTTTTGCATTTTTTTTCGTGAAAATTTACTAGGTATCATGATTATAAGCATCTTTGGTAGATTGTTCGATCCGGAATGGGAAATATCTCCTATTTATGAAAATATTTTTGGTTGCATCTAACTTCTAACCGTTGCAAACACTGTGACATATGATTTATAGCATAACCCGCTGCCCTATCAATACAAATTTAACATACAGGTCGCCTAGCCATGGGGATGCAGTGGTCGGGATGAATATCATGGCAGCAACTGATGATTCGGGCATATCTGGTAAGAACGTATGAAGTGAAACTCGCTAACTTCACAAATTTGAAGATTTTGTACAATTTCTTTGAAAATGATGAAAGATGTGTCTGATTTGGCAGGGTAATGTCGCAGCCAAATGGCAGTCACTCTTTCTGACACAGTCCCGATCGAAAGATGACGATACTCGTGAAATGTATTGATACTTCTAAATATAGGATCCTATCGAACATCCCTACTGTCAAGATGTATAACCCAAGGACGAATGTCACGAATAGTCTTATAAAGCATAGTAGAGTATATTTCAACAGTTGGCGGAACTTACTCCACTGGGACCAGGAGGGTGAAACGGGATATTAATGCACAATCTGGCAACCCTGTCGCACCCTCACAAAATGCCCGCTGACAACCACACAAGTCACCGTATTGTGATTTAATAGCATGGAATTAAACCTTCAGAGTATGTTTTGTGACTGGTACCAAGAGTTGACAGAGCCCACACATGTGTCACTCCTTGAAATGCAATAATCAGCTGTATTCAAATAACGTCTAATATAAATATAACCCAGAATATCTACTCGGTGAAAAAAGAAAAATATTGCAAATTTCTAGTTTTTCTGCAGGTTTTAGATTTGCTGGTAGCTCTACGACATATATTTCGGTATTTCTTAATCGCTAATATAGTGTGGATGTTTGTGAAGTTCCTGAACATCGAAAAATATTCAACTTTATGGATGTATGGATATTAAAAAATCAGAATGGTTTTGTGGGAATATCAATCTAAGATGCCATAATGGTTCTGATGAACGGCAATTAAATGAATGAATGTTTGGAAACGAGCAATATCTATGAACTTTTTGGTAGAGCCAGTCATCAAGTAGGTGCTTAATGGCTATCTGCAACAGGTTTATAGGAAAAAAACACCCAGTTGATGATCTTGAATCAGTAAAATCGCATATCAGCTGAAGAAAATAATATTATCATGAATAAAATATCAACAATGGTAATTAAAACATGAATTCTATTCAAAAATCAAACATTTGTTTAAATTTTGACTGAATTATATGTAATTTCTTAATATTCAATAAGCTGGTGATGTTTCAATGACAAGATGTCATCTCATACTTTGACAATATTTTGTTTTCAACATTTCATAGCTATTGGTTGCTAAAATTTGTTGATTGGAATTTGAACCTCATTCGCCGTATTTGACGGGCTCTTACCCTATAGGTGGAGAATAACGGACTGTTGTTGGTGAAATTAGCCGTTAATATAGTATCACGAAATGTGAAATCATTAAGGAGGTCTTCAGCATTTCAAAATAGAAGATATCTTAAAGTCACTGACTACATTGCTCAAATATGAAACTGGATAAATATTTGCAAAACATTTAACTTTATATTTCCTTAGTTTCAAGAAAATTTCTAGAATATGACAAACATGCAATATACTCCGGTATTATATCACTAAGGAGGTGCTTAAAATTACTTCTGTGAAAACATGCCATTTCAGGAAGAATGAGATTTTATGAATATCAGACGTGGTTGTATAGAAACAGTATCACTACAAATTAAGCTAAGATCATCTGTACATTGCTGGAGTGAAATTTGTGATGAAAGTTGATCGTTTTTATGTGGTATGAAAGATCCTTTAAGGATATTCGACAGGTATACCTCAAGAGATACTGCAACCGTGTTATGAATACTGTGCAACTTTGAAACTATACAAACAACGCATTCAACAGTGTAACCGCAGCACACAGGTAACTTCAATAAGCGTTGGAGTTAGTTATACCAGCAGCTTTGAACGGAATGTAATTATGCATTGTTGTGCTGCTGCCATTTTCAATTAAGATTCCTAGATAGCAAAACTGAATCATAATTATAAATGTGCAACTCACCAGCCGTTGTTTGGGTCGTATACACTGAAACCCCAATTAGTAGACCAAATAAGCTTTTTTAGGAGTCAAGAGTTGTTTGCAATTTGATATATGTCGAAATTGCGTTACATATTCGCAAATCAATTGCACATACATTTGATCTTTATATTTACTTAGGAAATTTTTATCTATATTGTTAGAGGATGCATAATCATTGGATATATCCAACATCACCTCTGCTGATATAAGCAAATCACTTTCAGTAAGATTCACTTTGACTAGCTGTCAAAGACGGTCATATAGTGATATCATTGAGTCGGTATCGCTGTAAGGAAGGTTAAAAGATTGCATACGTGTCAATGACATTGTTTGGGGTGAGTTTTGTGACTCAAGCTAGTAGATGTTATGAAATAAAGGAACCTTTGGAAGTATACGTCAAGTCACAATACTCACATTGCTCATCACATTCAGATGCGCACAAGCCTTATAACTAGTGACCGGACTAGATGCAACATAAAAAGTTTGGAATATGCATGAAAACATGCATGAAAAATGGTTAAAATATGCAAAATGAAATGACAATAAAACAATGATTTTTATACTATTTATTTTAAAATCGGCTTACAAATAATTGAGGGGTTTGGAAGTAAAAAGGTTCAAGTGCACTTTTTTAATTAAATGGTCTAAGTACAGAATATCATACCTAAATCATATCCTAACTTGGTGGTAAAATGATTTAAATGCAGGCAACGTTCCCTGGCGCCATCTCTCATAGTCTTTGAGAACATATCAAAATATCCGCTATAATGTGGTAAAATGATTCAAGTGCACTTGAACCATTTTACTTCTAAGGCTTTGGCAACTATTTTTAATGTTTTGCGTGTGACGTGATTTCAACGTTTTACTTATTCTTAGTTAAAAATACGCATTTTGCAATGTTGGTAGTGTTATAATAATAAACAAAATGAGTACTGATTGGGAACGCAAGGTATCTATCAGGAGAATTAAGTATCAATAAGATGTACAAATTATATTAGGAGTTTTGTATTGACAAACAATAATTACCAGTAAAAGAGTCCTATTACAGGCATATTTTCAATACGGAATTCAATTTAAGATTCCACAAGCCCTATAGTGATACCTGCAGTCGACAATTTACAAAATTTGATAAAATATTCTACAAATGAAGACGTGATTAAAAATGCCAAGCAAGACCTCGAGCTGCACCAAAGAAAGGCTCAGAAAGCAACAGATGCCAAAAAAGCTGACATTGCTGAAAATAAAAATGATTCTAAAAATACGGCTGTAATTTGTTTTCATTTGCAACAGGCATTGCCGACGCCATTGTTAACCACCTCTAAAGTATTTCATCTTCGTCAATTATGGACGTATATTTTTTGTGTCTTTGACTTACTGACTGGAAAAAGTTATATGTATGTATGTAACGAAACTATTGCATCCAGGGGCTCACAGGAGATAGGATCATGTTTAATAAAATATGTGCAAAGCCTTCCATCTACAGTTACGAAGATTATTGCATAGTGTGATTCGTGTGGAGGACAAAATAAGAATAAAAACATTGCTAAACTATTTAGTTTTATTGTTACACATATATCTGAGATTCATCACAAGTTCCTTGAACCCAGGCACACTTACATGGAATGCGACCTCAGTTTTGGCTTAATCGAGCAGAAAAAAAGGCAAATCCCTGAAGTTTTTGTCCCCGCAGATTGCGAGACTGTAATAAGGGACACATCGGCCAAATTTATTGCGTACAATATGAACAAAGACGATTTTTACTCTTTTTCGCCGTTCAATGAAATTACGAACGATCAAAAAAAAAATAGTGACGGTTACCCCTTAAAATGGAAAGAAATTTGCTGGTTTGCTTACCATAAAAGTGAAAGACTAACATTTCGATACAAGAGTACCCTAAACATTGATGTAGAGTTTATCAGTTGCTTAATGGCAACCTCAAAAGTTGGGCGTCCGTGTTTTAACTTTTCAATACTAAAGCCTTTGAATGGCACTTCAATAAAGATTAAAGTCGCCAAGTACAAAAACTTGCTTAGCTTATTGGAATACATTCCGCCCATTCACCATACATTTTATAAAAACATGATGCACGATGGGAAAGCATTAACAAAAAAAGGAAAAAAGAAACAAACACAGACCCTGGCATCAAGCCAAAAAGTACCTGATATAGATGAACCCCAACCAAGACCAGCTGATTCAGATGAGGAAAATGATGAAGACATCCAAATATTAGATTCTGATTATGAATAAGAAATTTTGTTATAGATTATTTTTAACTAATGTTTGGTTTAGTACGGTAGTTGCACTTGAATCATGTTACCACCGTAATGTTTGTAACATGTACGGGTATAATGATTCAAGTACATTTTTGCAAAAATGACAATAAAAAAGCAAAATTAAGAAAACGTTTTTTGTTTGTAATATTATATTGGCATTTAAATAAACTTAATATAGTATCATACTTTGATAAATTTATTCCGGGAATTTTCAAATTCATGTAAACTTTGAAGCCATTTATCTCAGAACTACTAAAAATGTACTTAAACCCTTTTACTTCCAGGTCCCTCAATTAATAATTAAGCACTTGAATGGCTTATTTATGAGATCTGTAAGTGACGACTATTTAACAAGTTGTTATTTTTGCAAACACAAAAAATAAGGTAATGTTCCAGCGGTAAGACGGCTTCGCTCACTCAAAATATTATTATAGGTCGAAAAAGACCGCTCCGCATCCACGGAGGTGACTGGACAGTATTTGAATCTGGGTGCTATGCTAGCTTTTATTTTCTCTGGCAAAATAATAATAATAATAATAATAATGTCTTTATTAATCCATCCACACTGCGAGGCGAAGTTTAGCCAGCTGGCTACTCTACCACTTAACTTCACAGCGCAGGAACGCATACAAAAAGAAAGATATAACAATGAATAACAATCGACTAAATAATAGATAATGTTACCTGTCCCATTAATAAAGCCCTCAATTTGACATATAGATAGATTCAAAGTCTGGGTTATTGTTTAAAACGCTTTCAAACTTATATTTAATTGAATACATTCAGTCAATGCCAGTTTCAAGCTTTTTGATACTGGCAGGTAGCATCTGCACTACCGAAATCATCTACCACACCCTTCATTGGGAGCATATTTGCACATAAAATGTAGGCGCGAGTTCACTGGAACATCTCATCTACCAAAATTTGTATTGGAAACTTTATCGTCTGGCAAAAAGGAGTGAGATCAATAAATTTGTCTAGCTGCAACGTAAAATTTAACTTATTATCGAGATAATATGTCGAAAAAGTTGTAATTATAACAAAAATATGCAACGTCTCTAGATTTTTGTTGGAATATGCAACAACCGGCGAAAATAGGCTTAATATGCAAATACATATGCTAATACGCAAATGCATATAATCCGATCTCTACTCATCACATTCTGCATAGGTGTGATGTACACAAGCAGTATAACAGTGCAACGATGAAACCCTACAAACAACGCATTCAATAACGTAACCCCATCACGCAACTCGACTCAATAAGCGTCGGAGTTGGTTACATCAGCAGTTCGACTTCTTCGAGCAGAATGTAATTGAATTACACTGGTGCTGCTGCCATTTTTAATTACGATTCCGCGAGAGCAAAACCGAATCATAATTATAATTGTGCCGTTCACGAGGCATTGTTCGGTTCGAATACATTGTTCGGCACAGAGCGTCGGTTTTAACAAAGGCGGCGTCGCTCGGCGTACCTGGGCGCCGCGACGCTTTGACGCGTCGCCGCCGCTGTTCTGCCTGCGACATAATAATCGACGCAAGTCTGAAAAGTTTTAACGATGTACTATTCTGAATTAATAACTTGTTGTTGAGTACAGAAACGATCAATATGTAACAATACCTTCGCATCGCTAGGGCTATTCCTCCCAGCCGTGGATGGAAACCTGCGTTCTAGGAGGGGCATGACTGAAAAATACTATGATGAGGCGCTGACAATCTTAGAACAATTCTCACTTTGAATTTTACCATCCTTTTTTATTGATTATATTTGTAGCAGGATCCTGATCCACAGTTTCAAAAATTGACAAGGCTAAACGCCTTTCCTTAAGGCAGAAAAGCTATTACATGAAAATTTGTTATGCTGCCGTTTTCTGAACAAGCTAAATGGACGCATCAAGCTCCAACTTCACATTCAAACTCAGTTTTACTCTGAACATTTAGAAGTATCCGATCCGGCCGTTCATATCAAGAGCAAGTTCCCCTTTAACAACAAACCCTCCTCTACCTCTCTATAACGGCCTTGGTATTCCGGCACTCAGGTTTTGTCTCCTCGATTGATGCTTTATAAAATAGTGTCTTACTAATAGTGTGCAATACTATTCATGTTTATGTATTTCATTGCCATCTGAAGCAACAGACAAGTTAAAAAGATTTTCTTATGTTTCTTGTTAGGAATGTACACCGCGCCCCATACTCATACCCCCGCGGTCTGCTGTCTGACAGAGGTTGTACCGTACTGATGAATGCTGAGAAACAAGGAACGACGTCATGTACGGTTTGTCATAGACCCGGAAACTGAGAGCAAACAGACTCAGTTCAGTTTGTAAAAATCTGTTCTTTATTTTCTCTTTATTTTTGTACCTAGTTACTTCTTGCCAGCAGTTTTTCCTTTTTCACAGTTTTAAACTCAGTATTCATTCATTCAAGACCTTAAATAGTATTTTATTCTTTTTAGAGTATACTTACTATAGGATTCTCTCCCGAAGTCTGAAACACTCATTAATTATTTTGTAGGGCAACCCTCGATTTTTTCCGCAGCATGAATCTAATAACCATTTAACTAGTATTACTCGTCATATTAAGTGGAGCACCAAGACGACGGGTACACGCGACAACAGCCCTTCAAATACCTCTGAGAACGTTTACCATTGTCGTAGTTTAGGGGATGCTATTATGAACAGGGCTTTGGGGGCAGTGAAAGTTTGATTAAAATATCTAGATTTGAGCTTTTCGAACAGCTTAAAATTTTGGGCTTGGCGAACAATTACAAACGATTTAAAAATTGTCTGACTATGTGCTCTTCTCAGATCCCTAAGGACACTCATCATTCTCGTAGTATCAGGGATAATAATAATAATAATAATAATAATAATAATAATGTTTATTGTCCAAACTATAAGCAGATAACTAGAAATGACATATTTTATAACAATAAACATGGTAAAAAAACCCGCAGAGGGCTAGCCTTGTACGCGGGTATGCATTATCTTATGAATAATTACGTACTACTTAAACTAGAAATAAAAAGACACACGTGATTTTCTAAGAAAAGAACAACAACGACATTAAATAGGATTTTAAAATAATTTATCTGACTTAGTGCGAGTGTGGATGGCCTCATTTAATAATAGATCCTTTTTAAGGCAAAATGTCTAATTTAGGGCACAAAGTCTATCTTAGGATATTATTGTCGTTTGTTTTATGTTCTCTGTTTGGGAGATATATCGAGTTTGTTGTCAAAATCGGTAAATAAGTATAGCAATGGTATATTGTCTAAATCGGTAGTGTTGGGTATAGGGTATTTTGTCTAATTCGGTAACTTTATGATAGTAATTCGTTTTCATGTTAAGTTTAATCTTTTTAAGTCAACGATTTCGTGAATTCCCTGTCTGGGCATAGATGTTATCCAGCCTTTTACTTTCCTTTTAAATGTGTGTTTGGAACGTATCATCTTCAGGTATTATGGAAGAAGATTGTAACGTCTTGGTCCTAGGTAAGTATACGATCTCACCATTATATTTTTTTCTGGTTTTGGCACCTTTAAACAATTCCTGTTTCTTGTTTGGTAGGAATGTATCGGCTCTTGGTTGGGAGGACGGGATATGTGTTGCACTATCAAAACTTTTAGTAGGTATAATTGCCTTATGCCTACTATACCAGTTTCTTTATAGAGATGGTCAGTTGGATACAGTCGGGGTTTATGAGATATTGTCTTTAAAATACTTTTTTGAGTTATTTCTAATTGACAATACTCTAGTATATTTTTAATCCTTCTTATTCGATATAGAAGGGATTCAAAGTTTTTCGCGACCTACGTTATATGCATATACCACCTGAGGTGTGCATCTATGTAAATTCCTAAATCTTTTACACCATTTACTTTATTTATTTTACATTGATTATCCTCATTGTTTTTTATTTGTAGATGACGATAAAATGACACTTTGTTGGCATATGATGTGAAGGGAATAAAATTTGTTATTTCAAAATTTATTGTTAATAACTTATTACTGATGCTATTATAAAAACAGCATAGATTCTTAGAAAGAGAAATGAAGCCCAATTAAAAGGTCATAGCCTAGACTTTTGGAGCTGTTGTAAATGACTTTAGGAATAGCCCTTTTCATACCTCTGAGTAGACTTACTCTTGTCATAGATGTAGGACTAGACCGCTAGACTCTGCAAAAATGGTGTCAAGTAGGTTTACACTGCTTCTACCACGCAACGCTATATCATCGGTTATGAAAGAATACCTTCGGCAGAAGTTAGCCCCTCTGAAAGAGAAATTGACCACGAACATCTGTAGTGACGTTCAAATTTAGCTGACGTCGTAATGTGTACCTGAGACAAGCGCGAGAAGCGTGCAGTATGTGTTAGAAAGAGTACGCCTATGGCATCCGTGGCCTCGTACTCGGGTTGCTAGGCAACGAGGTGCTTCTATCTCTTTTAACACACGCATTTCACGCTTCTCTCTCATACACGTTACTACGTCAGTGGTATTTGCTAATAGAATATATAATGCTGACAAGTGCTCATAATATACAAAAAAAATTCTTACACTGTCTTATCGGCCCCCATGAAAATATATCCTCGAGTGCCGTTATCTGATGTGCCGATCCCCTAGTGGTCGATGGGACCCAAACTCCTCCATGGCAAGATCTTCTGTTCCCGTTCGTTAATTTTGGCAAAGGAAATCTCGATATCCAAGATGTTTATGGAAACACCGGGACTAGAAGCGTATAAATATACCACCGCCAAAAATTTGTGATACACCCCTGGACGCTTCATCGAAATTTAGAGCTCCAGGATGAAGCAGATTGACCGTACCAACAGCCGATGTGTTAAAGAAATAGTTTTTATAAATGCAATGTCAAGAATGCTTTTTTCTCTCGATAATAAAAATAACCCGATAATGTTGATCGTCTCTTATTTTTTTTTAGTTATTGAGCTATTAGGAATTTTACCTAAACTAGCATTCTGCAGTTCTGCAGCTTCCGCCATTCTCATAGAAGATCTATTCAACTTTGCGTAAACAAAATGTTTACTAA